CCCTCTCAGAGCCCACAGTCCCGGTGTGACAGGCGATCAAGCAGTCTCACTATAGAGGGACCAGTGCTGGGGGGGTGGGGGTGCCGTAGGTTACCCAGGAGGTCATGGAAGGCTTCCTGGAGGAAGTGACTCCAGAACCAGGACCTAAAGTACAGGTGGAAGTGAGCCAGACTTTGGTCTAGAGTGTGCTGGTGCCTGGGGCCCAAGGGAGCTAAAACGGGCCTCAGAGAAGGTGCTGGTACCTGGGGGAGGGAGGGAGGAGGGAAGGGAAGCCTCAGGCCTGGAGGCCCCGGGTCTGAGCCTGGCTCACCTCACTTTGGCCCCTGCTCCTTCCCCTCCAGATCGAAGCGCTGCCCCCGGAGCTCTTCCAGTGCCGGAAACTGCGGGCCCTGCACCTGGGCAACAACGTGCTGCAGTCGCTGCCCTCGAGGGTGGGCGAGCTGACCAACCTCACCCAGATCGAGCTGCGGGGCAACCGGCTGGAGTGCCTGCCCGTGGAGCTGGGCGAGTGCCCGCTGCTCAAGCGCAGTGGCCTGGTGGTGGAGGAGGACCTGTTCAACACCCTGCCGCCCGAGGTCAAGGAACGGCTCTGGAGGGCCGACAAGGAGCAGGCCTGAGCACAGGCAGGCAGCCGAGCACGGAGCCAGCCCTGAGCGGCCAGCAGCAGGACCCCGAGGAGTCCGCAGGCCCAGGAACCCAGAAACCCCGGGACTACCATCCCAGGGCCAGATGCGAGCTGGGCCTGGTGACAGGACAGTACCTAAGGGGCTGGCCCCTTCTCTCCCTCTGAGACACGTGCCCCCGGGCAGGCGCCTTGGGGGATCAGAGACCTGTAGTCCATCCCAGAGCACGGTATTCGGACAATCAGGGCCTCCTCCCTGGAGGCCACCTCTGCCCCAGAGGCTGAGCCAGTGCCAGAGGTCCAGGGACATCTACTTAGCTCTTGGTATTTATTTTTCTCCACCTCATGTCCCCTCCTTGCAGATAACTTATACATTCCCGTGGAAGCTCAGCTCGGATGGGGGTGTTGGAGGAAGGGTGGGCTGTGTCGCCTTCTCCTTTTTCGGTGATGCTGTGGCATGTACTGCCCACTCAGAGTGAGCAGAGTGTTCCAGTGCAAAGCACCTGTGGGGCAGTTGCCCAGTGGTGCTGGGTGGGCTTTGGCGGCAGGGCCTGTGGGAGAGCAGGCTGCCAGGTGGAAAGGCCAGGCCTGGGACTTGCCTCATCCATTTTAGATGTTGGGTTTTTTTTTTTAAGTAAAAAAAAAATTTTTTTAAGCTTTGAAAATTGAGGGTTTGGGTATTAAAAAGAAAAAACTTAAAAAAAAGACACTAAAGGCCAGTGAGTTGGGGTCTCAGGGTGGGGCAGCATTGTCCTTCAGCAGACCAGCAAGACCTGAATTGTGTCTCCTCCTCTCTGGTGGGCACAGGCTGCAGGATGTCTTCCGAATCTGCTGTGACCTTGGTCCAGGAGTTCTGTTTGTTCCTCTCCTAGGGTGGGGATTTTTGTTTTGTTTTTGGTGTCTTGTTTTCTTTCTCCTCCATGTGTCTTGGCAGGCGCTCATTTCCGAGGCTGTTGGCCAAAGGGAATGTTCTGGAGCGGCCAAGAAGGGGGGAGACGTGGGCTGACAAATTCCTGGATGAACGGTGCTCCATCCCACCCTCCCTCATCGCAGTGTTAAGGAGCTGAGAGGAGCTACCTCGCCCGGACTCTGCCTTCCCACCTTGTGTGTCATGAATTTGCCACCGCTAGCCTCAGCTGCTTACATCAGCCCTGTCACCACCTGGTCCCTGAGAACAGACTGTTGGAGGTGGGGTCGTGGGTGGGGAGGTCACCACTGGGAGGGCAGGCTCCCCACGTTTGGGTTCCAGTTTCTGTCCCAGGCGCCCGGTGCACACAGCCCCCTTAGGGCCTGGGGGTGGGAAGCCAGCTCGCTTTAGATCAGTCACCGGGGTTCCCGCCTTAGAAGGGTCCCCACCTTAGATCACTCACTTGGACACTAAGGCACGTTTTAGCGTCTCTTGTCTTAATGATTATGTCCATTTGTCTGTCCATTTGTGTTTTCTGCATCATGTCGGCAGATGTAATCCTCAGAAATAATGCACACTGGCCTCTGACAACCATGAAGCAATCTGTTACATGTGGGTCTGAACTTGTAGACTTGGTTCAAACATCAAATAAACCTATAACAGAAAGTACCTCTGGAGGCCTCCATCTCGTGGGGGTCCCTTCCCTCAGCTCTCAGGGGCCCAGTGGGCCCTGTGCACTAGTTTGTTGAGTGACTATTCGTTGGGCACCTACAAGATAGTTAGCTCTGCTCCTCTCCCTGCCCCATGCAACTGTAAGCTCCTTAGAGGCAGCTGCTGGACGACAGCTGGATGGAGTGTCTGTTACAAGTCACGTGTGGGCCCAGGCCGGGATCCTGCAGTCAGCACATTGTCTGCAGGCCCAGTGGCCTGTGGTTTGGGCCCTCGTGAGCTTTGCTGGATTGGGGGAGGGAAGGGAGGGCAGTGGAAAGGGAGGCAGTCCTTGTCCCAGCTCAGTCATCCCCTGCCTGGAGCTGGGCAGATGCCTTCCCTCCCGTGGCCTCCATATCCCATCTGGAATGGGCATTGCCACTCTGTGCCCTCACAGGTCCCTTGTGATTCCAACAGCCAGTCCCAGGGTTCTGCAGAGGTGGGGCAGAGAGTCACCGTGAGAGGGCCTGAGCTGCTCGCAGCCCCTTTGGGACATTGGGAAAGGTGCTGGGGTCCAGGGCAGAGGCTCAGAGAGGTGGACAGGGCTGCCTTCTAATCCTAGCTCTGCCATTTATTTGATGTGGGGCCTCAGTTTCCTCATTGGTAACATGAGGATGGTGTTGGCAGCCATGCAGCATTGCTCTGAGGCTGACTCCTGATGATTCTGCATTTGGGTGGACTTTTCAGCAGAGGGCCTAGCTCCCAGTACCCAGTCACGGATATCTTCCTCCCAGACCAGAGAGGCTTGTGCTGGACTGACTAAGGGGCCCTGGGACAGGGGTCTTTGGGGGAAGAAGAAAGGCCATCGCTTCTGACCTCGGCCTTACGGTGAAGCCTTAGCTGCTGCATGGGCACTTCCTCTGGAACAGGCCGGAGTCTGCCTTTCCTCCCTCCATGGGACTCTGACCCCTCCAGGTGACCTCAGGACTGAGCAGCTGGACTGTGACCCCCCTCTCGGACCCTCCTGTGTCTCCAGAGTGGAGGTCTTCCCCTCCTGTACTGGTGCTACCTCTCTCTCCCCAAACTCCCATGCCCGGACCCAGCCTTGGGGCCGCCCAGTGCCTGGAGCAGCACTGTTCCATCTGGAGCTGGTTAGTTTTTGGAAACAACAGCAATGTGCAAACGCCTCCCACCGCTTCCCAGAGCCTGAGCAGAATGAGTAAACAAACGCCAGGCCCAGCACCACCCGCCACATTCCCTCCCTGACCCCGTTCCCTCCCTCACAACCTCCTAACAAAAGCTCCCCACTCCACTTAAACCACAGGGGTGGTCTCTCTGACTCCAAGCGCAGTTTGAAAACCTGGGGAAGTTCAAAAAACAAATGAAAAATACCCTCACATTCCACCCAGAACAGCCCCACTAACGTTCGGTGCATGGTGAGTACGCACTCACTGAGTGCCCAGCTCTGTGCCAAGCTCCTTGTCAGCAGTAAGAATTCATCTTCCTCCTTACAAAACGAACTTCTGTTATCCCGAAATTGCAGATGGGGAAAGTAAGGCCCGGGCGTGGACTCGACCCCAGTCTGCCTCACTGAGCCTCCACCGCGAGTCTTCACTGGGGGTTCCCAGGGCAGTTGCTAGCCCAGCACGACAGGCCCTCCCTGTACTGGTGGCACGTGGCAGGTGTCTCTGTGTTTTTTGGAGGACCCCCTCAGAAGGGACCAGGACAGCTGGCCACGCCCTGCCTCCCGTGAGCTGAGTCTCAGCTGTATTTCCCGTGGTTCTGTCTTCAGCCTGCCCTCCTCGCCCAGCTTAACCCCCTCTGACCCTCTCCTTCCAGCCTCGAGAGCCCAGTGGGGCTCAGCCCTCCCCCCGGCCCTGGGCCCTCGGGAAGCCGGCATGAAGCAGCTACTCCCAGTGCAGTGCACTGGCCCAGAAGACACGACTTGACTGGGGCCAAAGCTCCTGAAGCCTGAGCTGTGTCCCCCTGCTCATTCTCAAGACGCTCTGTGTCTTTGCCATTCAGAAAGTGTCATTTCAGGGAAGGCTGGTGGCCAGTTTTCGGAAGCTGAAGCCAGAATTGCCCTGTCAGCTGCCAAGCAAGGCCGGCTTAGAAGGGTGGGTGTGCATGTGCTTTTCCCAATGTGGACAGCAGACATGTTGGGGCTGGGGGTGGGGAAGTGGGAAACAAGAACCACGCTTCTCTCCCTCATCCTGAAGGCCCAGGCCCCCACTCTCCAGCCCCTTCTTTCTAAGATCCTCCTGTCTTCTGCCCTCCTCTGAGCTGCAGACTCATCTGTACATCGCTTCCATAATCCTCCCAGCACCTAGAGTTGCAGGGGATCAGAAGTGGGAGGGGCCCTGACAATTCTCGGAGGACCTCTTCCACCTTTGGAATGCACAACCCTTCAGCGGGGTCTGATGTGCATGTCCCCCAGACCCACTCTGCATCCCACCCCACCCAGGGGTTGATGTGGGTGGCCCAGGGACACTCTAATCCTCCCCTGAGGCCCAGAGAGGGACAGATTGGTTGGAGGTCACAGTTAGTGGTGGCACCTGGGCTCAGGTGTCCTGTCTGCTGGATTCTCCTAGAACACAACTCCTGGGCACCTGGTAAGCAGCCAGTGAGGTGTGAGCTGTGTCTGGAAACCAACTGGGAGGGAGCAGTTAAAAACCAAGAGGGGGATCAGAAAGGGCTAATCCTGGCTTAGCTGGGGGATGAACGTAGGTGTGGGGCTGGGGCTGAGGCAAGGGCCCATCCAGGGGCAGGAGTGACAGGGTGCAGGTGAGGGCTGGGGCTCAGCCTGGAGGGTCCCAGGCTGGTCTGTGTGTGTTCGGGGGAGGGAAGCTGGGGGCCCCAGTTGGGTTTTCTCTGGGTAGAGATGGGTTAAGTCCTCCAGGGCCTCCTAGGCTCCACCCTTTCTCCCCGCCCAAACTTCCTCTCAAGCCTTAGGCACAGCACACAGATCCACCCTGCACCCTGTCTTGACATCATGACCGGCCTGAGCCCCTCACAGCTCCAGAAGGTAGGTGCCTGCAGAGAGTGGGGACCCAGAGGGTCAGATAGGAGTCGGGAGTCCCTTGGGATCTCCAGTAGTCCTCGGGAACTCAGCCCCACACCAGGCCATTTTTCCATAAGAAGAAAGTGAAACCTAGAGTGTTTAGTCCCAATCATGACCCCTAACTTCTGTGCATGGAGCCAGGGGCGTCCAGGCTGCAAGACCTAGCTGGCAATGTGTGTGTGTGACCAAAACTGGAATAAAGCACCAGGATCAGGCAGTACTGGTCTAGGCGGACATATGAAGGGCTCCGGGCCCCTGGGAGCCTGGCACAGGGCAGCCGGTCCGCATGCATTCCAACACAAAAGGCTACCCCGTGGGAATTAGAGCGAGCAGACTCTGAAAACAACATGACCCTTGTTGGGTGTTCCTGAGAGCAAGGGAAAAATGCAGAAAAATACAGAAAAGCTCAAAGAAGAAAATGGAAAACCACCCATAAATTCCTACCGTGAGACAATATTTTGGTAAATAGCCCTAGAATCTTTAAAAGGTCCATCTTACTGCTCACGCTTATGGAGCGCTCGCCGTGTGTTTCATAAAGGAGGCACTAGTGTCCTCCCTGTTGGATGGTCTGAGGGTCAGAGAGGGGAAAGCACTTGCCCAAGTTCTCAGAGTGCCTAGGACATTAATTTGCATTTGGCTGGTTTTTTCATCTCAGAGTAGACCGGGGACGTGTTCCCATGTCGGTAAATATTTTTCTACCACGTGATTTTCATCAGCTGGGTTGTGTTCCAGGTAGACGAACCACACTTTGTTGAACGAATCCCCTGCTGCTGAGCATTCAGGTTGTTTCCAACTTATTGCTTGTTTAACAAGCCTCCGTCAGTACCCCCCATACATACACCTTTGCTCCCCTCTTTGCTGATCCTCCACCTTCTCATGTCGGGGAGTCCTAGCAGTGTGTTTACTCGATCACGTGTACACCGTTTGTGTGGATGACCCAGTTGCCAAGGAGGCAATCACTGTTCAGCTTGCTGCTGATATGAGGATCAAGGTTCTAACATGCAGAGCTGCCCAAGGCAGAAGGGCCTGTGGTGGGTGGTCATGAATGCTCCAGCATCCTGTGTGTGGAAGGCAGAACTGGGCATCCATGGGACAGGGAGGGAGGGAGGGAATGGGGGTCAGTAACTGGAAATCAGACACTTCACAGTGGTTTCTAGAGGGGACTTCCAAGGCTCTTGTTAAGGTTAAGACTTTACACTTGTCTGCAAGGAAACACAAAGATATTCTTTCTCTCCTCCTTGTCTCTATAGCCTCAGAATGAGAGGAGTGGAGGCAAGTCAGAATAAGGCATGTGTTTTCACTGCCCACTGGCCGCCCACTGCACTCAGGATCAAGCCCAGCTTCTTGCCTGGCCCGGCTCGGGTGCCACTTTCCTGCCTCCCTTCCACCCTCACTCTGCTCCATCGGGTCCCAGCTCCTCGTGTCCCTCCCGCACTCCCTTGGCCTGGAATGCTCTTCCCTGTCTCTTCCACTCCCAGTATCCTGCTGGTCCCCATAACATGTCACTTCCTCAAGGCTGCTGCCCTCAGCCCCTGTGCCCTCCCCATCTGGTTGACAGTAGACTCTTCTGCCTTAGCTCTCAGCCCTGTCCCTCCGTGCACTAAGCAGCCTGTGATAGTGTGCTCCCCTGTGTGCTGGTGTCTTTGATGTCAGGCTCCTTGCCGAGATGGTCAGTTCCGGGAGCACAGCCATCATGGCTGGCTGGCTGGCTGGCTCGTTACTGAATCTCCGGCTCCTAAAACCGTGTCTGGTGCACAGTAGGTGCTCAATCAATTTTAGCTGAATAACTGAGTGAGGTTGTATTCCCATGTGACCCAGGCCCCTTGGAGGGGAAGGGTGAGGACATCTCTCTTTCCCCTCCCTCCTGCCTTCCTTCAAGCAGCCGATACTGATGGCTCCTCACTGGGTGCCAGACAGCATGACCAGGCTGGGGCCAGAGCAATGAACAGGACCCTTGGTCCTGCCTTCACAGAGCTTCGGGTTGGGGGAGAGGTCCAATCTGTCCTCAGAAAGAGCGGCTGAGGGAAGGGGGGAGCCTGAGTGTCCTCGCTGCCCGCAGTTCCAGGAGGATGGATTCCTGGTGCTGGAAGGATTCTTGTCTGCAGAGGAGTGTGTGGCCCTGCAACAGAGGATTGGCCAGATAGTGGCCGAGATGGATGTCCCTCCCCACTGCTGTGCGGAATTTCCTCCTCGCATCCTCAACAAGGCAGAAGAGCAGCAGAAAACCCAGGTGGGCACCTGGGGCAGGTGAGGAGGGGATGTGGTCTTTGTTGGGCGTCCCCGTCTCCAGCCAGAGCAGCAGCCCTTGGGCTTGTTCTGGTAACAGTCAGGCCAGAGCCTTCCCCGTGCCGGGCTCCAGGCCAGGCCCCTTATATGCACGTTTCCTTCACTCCTCACTATGAATGTATGAGGTCGGCATTATTGCCCCCCTTTGACAGGTGAGGAAAATGAAGCTCCATTCTTTGGCCCCAAACCTGCACGGTTAGTAATTGATAGTGCGAGGATTTGAACCCAGATCTGGCTGATACCAAGTGCGTGCTGTTCCCTGCTTGCTGCGCTT